TTGGCCACAAAACACAAACATTATACATGGGTGACAGTGGAGAATACCAACGGTTGTCACCTCACCTTGCCGAAATAGGCATTCAACACCTTACCACACCCTCATATATCCGTGAGCATGTTGGTTATGCTAAGAGGAAACATCGACATGTAGTAAAAACAAGCCTCACCCTTCTCTTTACTGCCAATTTTCCCCTCCAATACTCGCCACATGCTTTTCGGCATGCCATATATCTTATCAATTGCATGCCCAATCCAACTCTCAAACACCAGTCCCCATTTTCCAAACTATTTAACGACCAACCAAATTATACATCGTTAAAAATATTTGGTTGTATCTGTTATCCCTAGCTTCGGCCATATACTAACCACATACTTGAACCTCGTTCCTGCCCATGTGTCTATCTTGGGTTCTCTATCGTCCATCATGTGCATCAATGTCTTGACCCGACCACCAACAAAATTTTTATTTCTCGTCATGTTCGTTTCCATGAACATTCCTTTCTGTTTTATCATATATCCCTTGCTGCTCCATCTTATTAGAACACTCTCATTCAATTTTGTATACCCTTTACTACCTGGAAGGAATAAGTGTCAAACTGGACACTATGAATATATATATGAATCTCATATTGGACATTAAAGTTTCAAATACCAAATTGGACTTGATATATTGTTACATGTGTATCTCATGTTGGACGCTAAAGTTCTAAGTGGGTGTTTAGAACTGATTATGCTAAGCAGAATCATAATCAGTTTTCAGAAGCTAGTCTCCCCCAGTGATACACTTGTAATTTCCGTGTGTATGTTTGTGTTTTTAGCTAGTTTTGGTTGTTTAATATTTCGGAAATTACACACTTTTGGTGTAATAGTTTAGTTTGTTAAATCCTTGTAAATTGTTTAGATTAGGATTATTCTGAGCTCAAACAGGTCTACTATCACTCAAAGGATGGTTGGTGAACCCCAAAAGTGGAAAGAAGGTGCAAATCACAAGACAAAAAGGGAAAACCCTGATTTTTGCCTATACTCGGTCGAGTATTACCTATACTCGATCGGGTATAAGGTTGAAACTTCAAATCAGATCGGATCCGAAGACAAAAGAACATGCCGAGAAGATTTTGACCACGATTCAGTGTCTATACTCGATCGAGTAGACCGACATACCCGATCGAGTATGCCTTTGAGTTTAAACCCGAAATCGGTCGAGTATGGCTCGAATATCACTTTCTACACATACTCGACCGAGTATGAATATATACTCGATCGAGTACACCTTTGATTTTTAAGCCAGAATCGATCGAGTATACCTCGAATCTGACATTTCACACATACTCGATCGGGTACTATGTGTATACTCGATCGAGTACTCGAGTCCCATCCCAAAAGCCTATAAATACACCCTCTTTCCTTCACAATAGGGAAGCAATTCGTTTATACTCTTAAGCTCAGTTTAGAATAGAATTTCTCTATATTTCTTTTAGCATGTTTAGTCTCCAAATGAGGAGCTAAACTTCCATTTCTTGGTTTTGCTCTTGAAGCTTGATTGATTATTAAAGTTGTGAGTTATTTTCTTACTCTCTCCTCTTGATTATTAATTCTTCCCTTAATCTCATTCTATATCATTGTTGGAGGGTGGCTAAGTGACGATTAGTTAACGTTCCCACATTGATTATTACTAGAAACGTTCAACGAACCGATGGTTAAACGTTGAATGTTTCATAAGTAAGTAACTTCGGTTTATTAATGCACGGTCGTGGTTAATAAACTTAAGAGGGATTAATTTTGTTGGTTAAACCGAAACCGTTGCGTTGAGGTTATCAATCTTAATTGATTTCATCAAGGAGTTAAAGAGGTTAAAAGCTACTGTTATATCGGTATACGGCGTTGTTCTATATTTGATAAATAGTAAGGGTTATTAATGAACGGTCGTTGTTAATAACTACCCTCGATGAATTGGATATACTCCTCGATTGAGTATTCGAGAGGGGATAAGTTATAGATATAACAATGATCGACTATAATATATCGACAAGTGGAAAGTAGCAAAACCAAGTCCCTTTTATTCTTAAATTTAATCCCATATAACTCGTTCATCTTCGTGTTTAATTTAATTAAATCACTCAACAAACAAACCCCGCCCCCTTTATTTACTATTTTCATAAAAAGAAAGTTATTCCTTTCCCTGTGGATACGAACTCTACTTCACCTATACTACGTATAAGTGTTAGTATCCATTTATTTTGAGTGCACTCACGACAAAGTGCACGTCACCCAGCTTCTAAAAAACTGATTCTAGAAGTAAATTAGAACACCAAAATCACTTCTGTACTTTCACCCAAACACTCCAACTTCTGATTATGCTCCCTGAAGGAGCAGAAGCAGTTTTAAGAATCAGATCCAAAATGACAATTTAATGCAATTTTCCACACATTTTCCAACATGATAAACTTGCATTCAACAGCTTAACTTCTCTCTCTAGACTCTTCTGTAAACTCTCAACTTAGAATGAGAGGGTTGGGGCTCGGGCTCGATAAGAGTGTGCTATAATCGTTCTATGTCCATTAATAGAAATTGGTGCACTTTTCATTTCCCCTTCTTCTCACTCGCCAAACACACAAAATATTCAAAAGAGTCTATGAATGCCCGGACATTTAGACGACGAGAACTAAACTTCAAAAAAACCCTATATTCATTTTTCTTAATAAAGCGAGCTTAACATGTTCACATTTTCCTTTGAAAAAAATGCATGTACTTAATGCTACTATTTCTTTTTAATAACTTTTAATTAATAATTGAAAAAATGACAATAATAATTCAACCTTTGATCAGGTTTTTCATAATAATCTCACATTTACGTAATCCCAGAATAATTCCACATTTGTACTCCATCTTCTTTCGTTGGACCATAACCGACTGATGACCTATTATACCCGATTTTTTCCTTTTCTTTGGAAACTTTATATAAATAATTCTGCCTTTCACGATCTGCTCAAAAGAGTACCACGTTTAATTTTCACTTTTTCTTTTTTCATCTTCTTATTATTTCATTTATTTAATCTATTTATGGTTTTTGCTTTCCTTTTTCTCAATAGTTTTTTCTTTCTTCTTATTCTTTTACCATTTTTACTTCTTCACTTTTTTATATATTACTATTCGGTTGATTCTCTTTTAAAGACTAGTATCCCACATTACTCGTTGTTATTTTATTTACTTTTTATTTCAAGTTTTCATTTAATTTCTTTAAATTCTCTTTATCCTTCCCTTTTCACCTTCCTAAACAGAATTTGATTTTTTCTTTGTCCTTTTCACCCGTTCCATTTTCTCTTGCTTTTGACATGTTAGTGAATATTGGAAATTTTTTATCTAGATTTCTTCTTATTTCCCCCTTTTCAAATAAAGTTTCTCACATCTACCCTTCTTTGTGTAAAAAGTATCTGTAATTTTTTCTGTTTTTACATTTCCCCGATTGTTTTATTTGTCTTTAAATTTTATTTTTCTTTAATCTCTTTATCATAAAGTTTTTTTATTATTGGATGAAATTTATGAGAGAACTTACTTTTTTATCAGCCAATAACAGTCTTTATTCATATCATAAGTTTCAGGATCATTACATCAATCAATGGAAAAACATATCTGACACCAACTAGACTACAACAACTACGACTTGGAAAAATACGATGAAAACACACAACAAAGTAACAAGAAGAAAAAAGGGAAACGTGAAAATAAAAAGAAAATAAAAAAGTAAAGTAGGGAAAATATCTTTAACGAAAAAAGAATGATTAAAAAAAGAAACAAATGAAAATGAAAATAATAAAAGAATCATTAAAGGGACATGAAATAAAAATACGGGAAGAAATAAATGACAAAAAAATGTCCGGAAAGGAAATTTTTGTTGGGTGTGTTTAAAAAAAAATTTAATTAATAAAAATTAATTAATTAAAATGATTAAAGAAAAACAAGAAAAGAGATTGAATAGAAATTAGTAAAAACTCGTGCTACGCACAATTTCCTTAAAACGCATTCGTTGCCTACCGGGGTGCTAGGAGCGTTACAACAATCGTTTCCCAAGATACGATAACTATGAGCTATTCGTTGAGCACTCAACCGAATAGTTCGTCTGCAGGTCGTCTTGCGCACGTAAGTCGCACTTTTTCTTCTCCGATTTCGGGATTTGATTCGAACTCCCCTGCTCGCAAAGAGAGTCTTTCCACCTAAGAATCTTAACTCCTTAGAATAGGCTTCCCTTTATAAGGGGTTGCAAATCCCTTGGGTTTTCCGATGTGGGAAATTAACACACTAGATAGAAACCCATTATTTTCCTATTTTCTTCATTTCAACGAGTGAACTTCGAGAATCAATTTCTCATTCACCCGTTATCCGCTTTGAGTGTACCACATATCGAATTGTAGCCATTAATAAGGGCAATTCGAAATCACTTTGACCCGACCCAAATCAGAAGTGTACCTCACTCAAAATATTGCCCCAAAATGACCATTTTATGCAATTTATTAACACTTTTTCCAACAATTTTACAAAAAAAAAATCTTACTCCATAATAGAGTGAGAATTAAATTAATAAATATGAAAAAAAAAATAAAAACAAAACGATGGGAATATGATAAAATAAAGAAAGAAAAATTTTAGGGCCAAAAACGAAAAAATAAAACATGAGACTCTTTTGGGCAGATTTGTGAAAGGTGAGTTATTTATGTAACATTTTAAAAAAAAAATCGGTATAGTATGTCATCAACCGGACAGAATCTAATAAGAGAAGGTGGAATGCAAATGTGAAATTATTCTGTAATTACGTAAATGTGAGATTATTATGAGCATTACGGGCAAAAGTGAGATTATTGTTTTCAATTTTTCCTTAATAATTTCATATTTTTACTTAAAATATGATATTTTATTAATTCTTACTATAATATCATTTTTATAAAAAATAAAAACTAAACATATGTTTATCTTTTAAATTTTTAGAGGTAGTATTTTCTCATTTTCGGAATTATGTATGCAAAAGGAAATGATTAAACTATAATTAAAGGGAAAAAAGATCTTCTGAAGCGTAAACGACAATTTTGGTCACCATGTCGACTCATGGCTCGTGACCGTGCGAACCGTACCACTGACCCGTATATCGTCAGTATATACATACACAATAAAATAACAATATTTAAAAGAAGAAAGAAAACCCGAAATAATTTCTTTCCTCCCAATATTCCGTACACCCATTTTCCCGATGGCGACATTGCTTTTCTCACCCGGGAAATAAACAGAAACCATTTACCCTTATTATTGGAAACTCTCGTATTTGACTTATCGCGTGGGACCCACTGACCGCCACCGCCCTGGTGCACCCCTCCGGTCCCGAGCTCTCACAACATTAGCAACAAATACCGGGTCCACCGGAATCATCTACAGCTGCTTTTCACACATATACGCGAAGTCCGTCTAGAGCACGCACCCACGTAGAGTCATAAGATGAATAGAATACTATGACTATTTCCAATGGTGTTTGATAATTCTCCTTTCCCTTTTTCCTTTTGAATTTCCTGTAAAGGTTGGTGCTTTATGATGGGGAGATGAGGCTGTGTGTGAAAAAGAAGCATTGGCGTCCAAGATTGATTTTTTCCCTTCTTTTTATCTTGTTCTGGTGATTCTTGTGAAGAACAGGACAGTTTCTGAGGAAAGATGTCCCCTTACGGTAAGTACATTCGCAATCACAATATCAGATCCTTTATTTATTCAAATTTTGTAATAAATTTCTTGGCGATTATCATTTCCCTTATCGTTGGATTTATGTTTTTTTATGGGTATCTTATTCGTTGCGGTTAGTTAATGTATTCATCATCTTGGATTCTTGGGGTTTCTAGGCTTGAAAGGAAGGTGGTGGTGATGCTTGACTTCCTCTGCTGTTGATAGATTTAATTTTTCATGGATTGGTTTGAGTTAAAGCTCTGATCTTTTTCTGCAATAGTTAAAGAGTTTTGATTATCTCTGCTGTAGATGATGATATCAGAGAAAAGGGTATCTTATGGTTTGTAATATTTAGTGTTTGGTTTGATGGGTTTGGAGAAACTCTGTATATGGGACCCATTCTTGAGTCTCAACCTTCATCATCATCATCTGACCTTAAGAAGGATATGAGATTTGTGAGTGTGTTTTCTTAGTGAGAAAGATGGATGAAGAGGTTAGTTCTTGGATAAGGAGAACAAAATTCTCCCAAACTGTTTATCATAGATTAGGTCCATCAAGGCTTGCCTCCTCCTCTCCTGTCACTTTTCACCCAACAACCAGAATTCTTCAACCCTCAAAACCCACTGTTAACAATCTGACAAACAAAGAACGAGCTATCTCACCACTCCCGGAAATGAAACTTCCTGAAACCTTCAAAGAAGCCCAATCCAACCAACAAAGATTCTCAACTCCACTCCGGCAACGCGATAGAGGTGGGGCCAATGGAGCAAAGACACATATTTTGAAATCTGTCTTTACTTCTAGTCCGAGCCGTAATTCCCCTTTGGTGAAATTCCATGATAAGAGAAAAGGAAGGAAGGAATCGGCTTGGACGAAGTGTTTTGATCATAGTGGAGGGAGAATTACCTCTGTAGATTCAGTGGATGAACATATGGTTGATCTTACTGAGCTTTTTCTTGGACTTCGATTTGCACATGGAGCACATAGTCAGCTTTACCATGGGAAGTACAAGGAAGAACCTGTTGCAGTCAAGATTATTAGGGTCCCGGATGATGATGAAAATGGAAATTTAGGGTTCCGTTTGGAGAACCAGTTTATAAGGGAAGTTACTCTTTTGTCTCGCCTCCATCACCAAAATGTTGTTAAGGTAATTTAATATTGGGAACCATTTGATTACCCATAAATAGATGAGAAATAGCTGCAGCTTGTGTGCTCAGCTTTTTATATTTAATAAAAATTCCCGCAGACAGGAGTAAATCATGAGTCATTTGTACAAATAGGAGTCTCATTATTTAATCCTAGAACTGCTTAATAGTTAATCCTTTAGGAGTGATTGATCCTATTTTTTAGGAAAAGCTGTGATTGTCATATTTATAAAATAGTACTGCGTATATATTTACACACTATCTTAAATACTCTGTTGTATAACTTGTGTAGACTTCTCTGCAAGTGCGATGGCAGATGCTTTGATTACGTAGTGCAGACCAAGGCTATGTTTTACTCTAGTAAACCCACAAAAAGGAGAAAATCTGGTTTAGAAAAATGTTTTCTGTCACCAAAAACAGAGAAATCTTGGGGAAAATATTTTATACGGAGTATAAATCAACAGAGATCAAGTTTAAAAGTTTATCCACTCATTCAAATTGGGATAATTATTAATGATGTGTTGATGCAGTTTGTAGGTGCGTGCAGAAAGCCGCGTGTTTTCTGCATAATTACAGAGTATTTACCTGAGGGTTCATTCAGATCATATCTTCACAAGCTTGATCACAAATCTCTCCCTTTAGCAAAACTGGTTGATATGGCATTGGACATAGCTAGTGGGATGGAATACATTCATTCTCAGGGAGTCATTCATAGGGATCTCAAACCAGAGAATATACTCATCAATGAGGATTTCCGGCTAAAGATTGCTGATTTCGGCATAGCTTGTGAGGAAGCCTATTGTGATCTTCTGGTTGATGATCCGGGCACTTACCGTTGGATGGCTCCTGAGATGATCAAACGTAAGTCATATGGAAGGAAGGTTGATGTGTACAGTTTTGGACTCATTTTGTGGGAAATGGTCACTGGTTTCATCCCGTATGAAGATATGACTTCTGTGCAAGCTGCTTTTGCCGTAGTCAACAAGGTAATAAGCTTGCAAAGTTTTTTTTTTCTTTTTCCTTTTTCCCCTTTCTCCTATTATAAGATTTCTATCTTCTAGCATAGTATGTTGGTTTTCAATGGCCTCTCAATGACAAGAAATTATCAAGCCCACAGCATGTGTTAAGGGTTAATACTAGATTTCATCCTCCACTTTTTTGTCGATTGTGTATTTTCCATTTAGAATTCAAAATAGTCTAATTTATGCTTTAGTGACCAAATATATACAAATCACATTTAAGATCTTAAAGTACTCTTCGCAACCGGTTGAACAAAGTTTAAGATAGTAAATATAAAATATAGAAACTCGCATAGAAGCTATTGAATTACTCCTCTGACAGATAGTATAGAACCCTAAATATTAAATCTCAAGTTCTATGATGACATTAGAGCTGCTTAAGTTCTAACTAATAATTTGTTCTGCTTTACATTTTGGCATAGAACCCTTATTCATAATAGTTTAGACTTGACTTTCATGTTCTTTCCGAAGTTGGTCCTTCATGAACGAATTCAACCGGTTTGTCCCTTAAGAATCTTGGCAATCTTCAAAATTGTCAAAGTTATCGCAGTCAAAATCCATGCTTTTCTGGTTAATAATAGATTGGTTTCCTTACAAAGGTAGACATGTGATCAAATTAAAGGCGGGGCTAAATATGGAACTAGAGGACTAAATCCGATGATAACACCATAGTTTAATGTAGACCTTTCAAATGCTATAGTATTGTTATCACTTGCATGATCTTTATACAATGATGATTACAGAATACGAGGCCAACAATTCCCATGGACTGTCCTCCTTCAATGAAAACTTTGATTGAGCAATGTTGGTGTCTGCAACCCGACAAGAGGCCCGAGTTTTCACAGATCGTGAAGGTTTTAGAGCAGTTCGAGACTTCTCTTGCCAACGATGGAACCCTAAATCAGGTACCTAGTTCGCTATTGTTTCAACAAGATCAACATAAAAAGGGTCAGGGTCTTCTCCAAAGGATGCAGAAGTTTGGTGTTCTGACGCAGTCTAAACAAAGGTCTGCTTGAGCGATTTCGACGACTGGATCTTAGACTGTAACTTGTTGTTTTTGGAAATGGTTTTGTAGTAGTTTTGGTTTTCAAATGATAGATGCATAACAATGGTCATTGCGATTTTAGCATGACTGTAAATTAAATTTCTGCTAGGGTAGAGCAGATACTTGACTAAATAGCTAGACCTGAGGTCTTGTAGATGGTGATATTTGATGTGCATGTAATAAATGATATCATTGCTTGATATTGTTCCTTCTCCACTTTATGTTGCATTGGTCCCTTTTCTTGGTGAAAGTCTTTGTTCCTAGTTGAAGCTAACTGATTAAGGCTCTGTTTGTTTGAGGAAAAGTTTTTGCCTTCAAACTCTTTTTTTATTTTCCTGTGTTTGTCACAAAGCAGAATATTTTCTTTGATTCTTTGATGCATTTGTTGAAGGACAACTATAGGAGCAGGTTCAGGAAATGTTTTAGGGATTAGGGAATGTTAAAACAAAAGTTGAAGTATACCCTCTCATCTACTTTACTCTCATTCACTTGAGTGATAAATTTAAGAATATTTTACTCCATATTTTTTGTATTTGTGTTACATTAGGCTTTTTATAAAGCTTAAAGGTAAAATAGTATGAGTAGTTAAAAAAGTAGGAGATAATGATGGGAAAAAATGAAAGAGAAGATGAAGTAGAAAAGTAAAGGTAATTTTAAATGAAGAATTTATCAAAATGAGAAAGTTTTGCAAATATTTGAATGCAAAGTTTAGTGATAAACTATTTACATTGTAAAATAGTTATCACATGCATTATAAAATATGTCCCTTTACAGTTTTACATTCCTAATCCTCATCACTTTATTTGGTGGCAGAAACGAAAAAGAGCATTCAATTCAATCGATGGTAACATACTTTCGTTCCAACAAATATAAGTAAAGTAGAAGAGATCATATAATTGCTCATTTTGCTTTCACAATTCCATCTTTCCAAACAGCGGCTGAATCAATCCAGGTAAAAGATTTACCATTCTTATATTTTAGGCTGTGTTTACTTGAAATTAAAATTTTAGTGGCCTAATATTTTTAAATGGTGTACTAATGAAGCTTTGTTGTTAACCTGATTCTCCATAAACTGTAAATTCATGTAATTCCTTATTTTAACTGGCGTACGATTGTATTTTATTTTTATTGTGTTGCATGTACGATTAGTTTTTTATTTTTTATTTATTTTATAGAGTAGCTTATAATGCATGTCTCAAAGACGGCTGTCTGCATTGTTGGTAAGTGTCGGCCCTTAATAATTACTACCTCCGTCCCAAAAAGAGTTGCAAATTTGACTTTTCTTAGTCAAACAGTCTCGTTTTGTTCACTTAATTAGGATGTCAATTTTTAATTATATTCTAATTTGAAGTTTACAACTTTGAAGACATTTTAATGTAGTTTTTGAATATGTAAATTTTAATTATTAAAAATTGAATTAAGTATCCATAGAGAGGGTTGACTTTTATTATTGGTTGACCGAAAAATGTTGACTTTGCAAAACAAATTGGGACGGAGGGAGTAAAATAAAGGTACTTTAGACATTTATACTACGCGTTATATGTAAAATTATACGGAGTACTATGTATTTTTTAACCGAACAATGCAAATACTTTGGATGTAAATTTAAAAATGAAATACACATTTGACCAAATAATATATTCATATTTCGCACAGAAATGATATTTTACGTGCAATCATTTTGCATGGACTGGAGTCAAGGCAGAGCCAGAAAAACGACTCAGGGAGTCAAAGTTCGATCAACTTTACATAGAATGAAAATGGTAGATTGTTTTTAGACAATACCCGAATTGAATGTCGTAGTTTATATGAAATTAATCGAGTTATATAGTTGATATATATGTCATATTTTTTACGGGTTTAGTCGATGGGTTTCTGCACTAGTGACTATCTCGGATGAGACCCTTTGCCTTACCCTAGTACTCTATAGTTCTCCTCTCACCCGGTATAATATCAAGATTTCTTATTAGAAAAGAATCGGGTATTGAGTAGGCACTCGTAGCAATAACATAAGTTGTCTTTGCTCTGTCTTTCATTTCACGTAAGTAATGAGAGAATTCTACGCTATTTTGGGAATATAATTAATACTATGGATCAAATTTTATTAATTTGTTTAAGTATTACTGATTTTGTAGAAGTCACAATTTTTTACTCGTAATGAGTTACGAGAGCCATAATATATCAAATCGAAATATTATTTTGTGAATTATTGTGTGATCACAACTCATTTTATCACATGAATGGTTAAAATTAGTTGTTAGTTTTCACCTAGAAAGTACATTTTAATTTCATCCTAGATCATAGATTTGAAACATAATATGAACCACCACTTGTTCGTCTGAAAATCAGGATCCAATGGAAACAACTTCGTAGTTGGGTAAATGAGAATTCTATGTCGCCAATCTTGCAATCAATTAAGCTATTTTAAGGCTTCCATTCCGACTGCTTCCAACAAATTAAAGCAACTTGTAGAAAATATTTTTCTATAACTCGAGCGTCCCTATGTTTCCATAATCATGTGTTTGGCGTTGCGACACATTATGGCGAGGGATAACTTTCTTCAATGATTTTAACTGTTTGTGGAAAATGACTTTTATTCTCTTTTTTTAAAAGAATAATTGACTTTTTTTTTTGTTGTAGAATAATTGACTTTTAATCTTGTGAAATTCCCTTTGCTAAAGAAGTTCAGTTTTTTGTGTTTTTGGACATTAAACAGAGGTCGATTTAGTGGTGGGTATTGCCGGGCCTCTCCAACTCCATCCACGGTCCACCCAATTTTCAACCTTTTCCTATAGTTGACAATTTTCAGTTGAAAAGTATATAAATGATTTATTTCTTGATATAAAAAGTTCAAACTCATGAAAGATTTCCATCCTAGTGAGAAACATTAAATGTACAAAAAATGATTGCTTCTTAAGAAAATATTTTATACTACAATTTGCTTATAAGGAATCAAACGAAACCTAAGCAAAATTGATCATCTCTATTCAATTATTTCATGGTAAACCTTAAAAATAGGAATATTGTATGTATTTTTTCTAATATACGTAAGTAAATAGCCGGGATCCTGATATAATTGATAATATTATCCAATATTATCCGAGTGACAATAAGTATATATATTTAGAGAAGAATATAGTAATCTTTTTTAAATGTATACTAGTTTTACTCCTATTGTGAGGACGTAATTTAATACTCCCTATTTGTTCCTTAACATGTTAATAATTCTGGGTTCATTTTTGTGTGGTTAACAGATAACTCAAATTTTGACCAAGTAATACTTACTAGATTAGGATGTTTTGTTTTGGACTGAAATTTGCTGGTCTGGTCTGGTCTGAACTGGTCTTGTCTGGTAAACGTCTGGTCTCTGTGTATTTTATAACTAAGAAATTCAGGTTTGATCTGGTCTGTTTAAGTCTGGTCTGGTCTGATCTAGACTGGACTGAAAACAGTCCAAAAGAAAACATCCTAAATGTGAAGCACACGTGTTGGACTGAGTGGGCTTAAAATTACTCGATTCAAGAATATCGGGTAGAAGAAATTTACCCAATCCAATTGAACTAGATACATAACTAGGCTTATAGTTCTATGAGCACATGATACGCACAAAATAAAGTTAATAGCTCTTTTGTTATGTATATATAGCAACACGGCAACACCTTTAAAAACTTCTATACTTGTATACCGCAACACATTTACAATATATACTCCCTATTTACAATATGACAAGACGCAAAATCAATTTGAAGACCTCTTTAATTTTGTTTTAGATATCGACAGAAATGGAGCACCAAGTAAATTGTATGAAGAAATTTAATGTAAATAATTCCTATATACGGAGTACTACTTATATACTCGTATTAGATAAGTCAATAACTATTTAGATTGTTAATAATATGACTGGGTGGGGTCGAGTTAATTTATCTCAATCCAACTCGGTGTTCCCAAAATGGATTCTTGAGGATGATACGGAAGTTTAGAATTCCGTCACGTTTCCCCGATTTAAATTTCAATGGAATCAATGAAAATAATTGCGTTCTCAAACATTCTTTGAATTTCTATTAAATTTTAATTGATTTTGATAGATTTTTACCTACAATGTTAAGACCCGGGGATCCATCCTAAAAGGTCAATCTATTAGGAGGAGTAACACATGTGTTAATATAACACTTTATTCATCCAAATTTTTCCGGTGTGAGACATTTTAACACCTCTCTTCACGACCAGATACATCGTCTGGACCGTGTCATCATTCATTTTTTTCATCAATTCGTCATTGTCATTTTTTTATAATCATGTCATCATTTTTTATAAGGGGCCCCACACCATGGATCGATTTGATTCTGATAGCACGTTAAAATACAAAACACTGCACCACAAATCTTGCAGACTTTTTGAATTTCAAAATCCATATTCTTTTAAAATCAACCAAAATTAAAGTTGGGGACATCCCCTAGTAGACTCTAATTTGTATGTGTCGTCTGGATTGAGGAGAATTGATTTGGATATAAAAATAGTTCAGTCAAATTCCAACTTGTTAAATAGCGAGTATTTCGAGTCCATTGTGGTCTTGTGGACCGTGACACCGTGTTCTACAGAGTTAAATATAGGTTGGAGTGTTGGACAACTCTGATTCTGAACGGATCGAGTGAATTGAATGAATCCAGTAAAATATTACCCCAGTCCCATATTTATATCATAAAGTATAAATGACACGAGAATTAAAATAATGAGTATTGTGTCATGGAAAATTATACTGAGAATAGAGAAATGTGTAAGAAAGCATAAGAAAGATTGTGAGTCACAAATTCTTTGCTAAAATAGGAGGGATGAAATAATTTTAGGATGGACGAAAACGGAAAATTTGAAGATTCCGAGATAGAGGGAGTAATAATTTTTTTTTTGGAGAGGTGGAAAAAATGAATCGGGACCTGGTCCGGCCTGAAAGATGTTATCGTTCCAAATTTTTCTTTTTAAGTGGTCCGATAAAAATATTTTGACTGATTCCGGAATTTTGACTCACTAACGGTCCATAAAATTTATAACTTGGCCCTGTCAAAATCTGAATCAATTATATTTAATAAAAAACCAATATAGTATGGAGTATGTCAATATCATTTAAAATAGTTCCTTATATGTGACTAAAATTAGTATGATGAAAAAAATAAGTATGGGGGAAAAATGTAAAGGATTAAGTTTTAGTGATTACAATCACGTTCAATTATTATATCATAATGATCATTTTAACTTTATTCACATTTTTATTCACATTCTTTAGTAGTACTTTTGAAAAAAA